CCTCAAATCTCGTTTAACGTTTAAAGCGACATATCAATGACTGCAACCATCGTGTTGTATACAAACTTCGCAAACTTTAAAACACGTTCTCTAGTGATACCTGCGAAAGTATTCAGTTTAATTTCCGGTAAGATTTTCGCGGACAATCTGATCGATTTCTCTTACATAGTGTGCTGAGACTGAAACTTTTCACCTCAAGCAAATCTCCGTCGCACGGTCCAAACAAACATAGCCAGCAACTGAGCTACCAGTATGTGTCCGTGTTACAACACACGAAAGGAATCTAAAGTACACTTCACTCTGATTGGGCAGAAAAACACAAAGATTTTCTGGCACCAATCAGATGGCAGAACGACTGCGACCGTTTGGAACTAGTCTTGTAAGACAATGTCCCCAGGGGCTCTTCATGCCCTAACTTGAAATCGACTCAGCCCCTTGTTTTCCGAGGATGTGAGAAACCTTGCTTCTTTCAAGAGGGAAGCTTACCGTTGCGCCCGCGCGCAATTCCTTGATATTCTCCCGGGCAAGCACATGTTATTGCTTTTCTGGCAAAACTCTCGACCACGTACCTTGAGATTTTGTCTCTGTTATCCTGTGGATCAGGTACCGGAGGCTCTGATCGGAGATAAAATATTTCCTGATATTTGATCGGCTAGTGCTTTTGCAATCCGTTGTGCTGATCACAACGACAGTGGCTTAACAGCGAGACTGTTAAAGCTTTACTTTCAGTATAAGTGTAACAGTATCAGTGGGCTCACGAATCCTTCGCCCTTTACAATTCTGGCGAGAGTGGGGCTTTGTAGGCTTTGTTCCGGCCTGAGACCTACAACCTTACTCTTTAAAATACCAGTTTTGGATCAAAAACTTCTTCTTTTATTTACTACGGATAAAAGTCAACACCGCATTATTCTTCTTCCCTCTTTTCCATTCCTCTCCTCCAACCCATTTCAAGGAAAAGCGCTCACTATGGGCGGATCCCCCTAGAAAGGTTCGTGACATTGTCACCCGTGGGGAAGAGCCCCCTATTCCGCCTTACCCTGTTAATTATCCCTTAGAAAGAAGACGAGTAGGTTGGTTCTGGTGTCATACCCAGACCTCGAGCGGTTGAGTTATAGTAAACGGTAGGATGTGGGTAAAAGATTAAATAGGCTGATTCCTCCTCGCACTATTTTTGGAGGATGAGCGGTTAAAAAAGATCATTTCATTTCCGAAGAAAATAGTTTCTGCATGGCAGCATATTGATACCTAATTTCCTTATTTGCAGGAGGTCCAGACCCTGAGAAAGGTCTCAATTACATCCGGGAGTTATTTTTGTCAAAGAAACCCGCTGACAAGGACATGTATTTGCACGTGACGTGCGCTACAGACACTGACCTAATGAAAGCGGTGTTGAAAGATGTGTTTGAAATTTTAGTCGACATAAACCTAAAGAAACTCTCCACACTTTAACTAAGAGGTAGTTTGAAAAGGCAGGCTTCGATGTGTGAAATCTGTCGCCAACTGTAGACCCAATCTTAGTCACTTTAGAGTAAATGTAACGTTTCTTAATAGCAGACCTTTCCATTTTTAAAATCCGCTAATTACCAGAATTTTCTTCCCCCCCAAATCAGCGAAAATGTGCGACGGCGAGGCTAACCATCAACTTGAACTAAAGTAAACTTATTTTGAAATAACTGTGAAAAGTCAGATTGCAACAGACAAGTTCCTGCTTATGGAAAACGGACCAAAACTAATACAACTGCTCCTCGTAAAAAGGATAGCTAACATTCGCTCAAGATCAGAATTGCTTGTGATTTGAAACGTTTTATAAAAGTTATGATTAAATTAAGGTTTAAATCTTTCTTGAAATGAGACTTGTCTTGTTTTTCTCACAATGATTGTACACTGCGAACAACACGGCTACAGTGAGTTGGTTAGGAGCGTTGAATATAATATCGTGGAAGACTAACCTCTGGCTCTTTATGATCGTTCCTCCTTTTGTACTCGGTTTGCAACGAGTGATCCACCTCCAATCTCCCTGAAAGCCAGGTGATCCCCCAAAATCTTACGACCACCCCCCCCCTTCCGTGGCGTTAAATAATTGCTGGTCGCCTTTTAAGAGAGACATTTGAAAGTAAGAGTGGTTGCTCAAGCGATTCTCCCATTGAAGCTCTTAGTTTGACGACTCAACAGGAAAGAGCGCAGAAGGATGAGGGGGGGGGGTTGAGCGGAGAAGGATGGGGGGTGGGGGGAAGAGAGCAGTGCTTCCTCGACCTCTCCAGCTCTACTTTACAAAGAATGACGGAGGGCAGTGTATCTGAGGGCTCATTAAAAAGCCCTGAAATCAATACGACAATGGTGGAGGTTCTGAATGAAATTGTAGAACGAACCAACTTGAATAAGGACTTGCCACGACAGAGACAACGAATTCCACAACACAAATCATACAGGCACCAATTTTTTTCGACGACTTTAAAACAATGTCGTACGATTCAAAATATCGCTGAGTACACACAAACAAAAATCATCGTTAAGGTCAAGACCGCTAAACATAACAGTAACTCTTTATTCTTTGATGCCTCGTTACTTTCGTTTTTCACGCTCGTTCTCGGAACAGTTCAGCGTACAGTTATGCCACAGGCGTAAGGCTTTGTCGTATCCTAAAGCCCCTTAGAATGTGTCCAATATATTATTGCCATCAGTGAAATTTCCAACGCCACGATCACGGCTCCAATTCTCATCTGGGACGACCACGCCCTCTTCCTGCGGGTGCAGGGGGACCATCACCACCTGACTTGGGGTTTTTCACTGTTTCGTCCACAGACAGGATTAAACAGGCTGCCTCCGTTGCGGCCGTGATGGCGTTGATTTTCACTATGGCCGGCTCCCAGACACAGGCATCGAAGTTATCGGCAATGTCTTCGTTGTTTATGTCCACACCATACCACATGCCACCTAAATTAAGAAGGGAAAAGATACGAATATAAAAAGGTCCTGCAGATGAAAAAAATGTCGGGTAGCGATAAATGGAATTTCCTTCTTTTTCCTGCGAGTCGAAACTAAGACCTCTGAGAAAGTATTTGGAAGCTGACTTTATCTTTCGAGATGATGTCATAACTAGTACTCTTCAAGCACAATCTTCCCTAAAGTTTCTCATACCCAGTTCTCACGCATTGTGTTCAAAACTCAAAATCTTTTAGAATCGTTTTCATTTTCTGCACTTAAGATTTTGAGTAAAATCGCAAGTCTTGAGTAGAATAACGGGTGTCGAGAATTTGCGTCAACATCAAAAGTTCAAAATCGCCCATATGTGATGGTATCCATCCATGGTACTTGTACATAAATTCAGCTACCTAAAACCCGGCCCAGTCGTTAATCAACCATAACAGCTTTAAAAAAAGGCCTCGGTGTGAATTCCTCGGGGGGGGGGGGGGGTTTCAATCATTTTCCCACTAACACAAACACAAGGGCGTCCTCGCAGAGTAAACAGAGGGCGGTCAGCGGTCTTACAAGCGGCGGTAAACTGCCAGTAACTGGGTTTTATTTTAACACTTGTTTCACTGCCATCCCTACAGTTTTATGCCCCATACCAACCCTGTATTGATATGCAGTCCCTTTGTTATTCGTTAAGAGCCTGGAAATACTTGCATTATAGGTTTCATGCAACATACAGGCCATAATTGATCAAAGGGCGAATACAGCTATCAGCGGAGTAAAATTGTTCATAAAACGTACCGCGCTATCCAGTGAATAAGATTAATTCCGTGGATAGACTACCCCAGCCTGCGAATAATCGAAACCTGCTGTCGATCTTCTGGTTCTTACCTTGAAAGTGTTTCTGTCGCAATTTATTCAAGATATTGGTCGCATCAAATCCTGCATTGTCGCACAGTTGTCTGGGAATGATCTCCAGGGCTCTGGCCATGGATCCAATCAGAAGCTGTTCCTTTCCCGCTATCGATCGAGAAAAATCTCTCAGGTATTTGCTTAGTTCCATTTCGATGGCACCCCCGCCTGCCACAACTGCATCATTTTTGATCGCTCGTCTTACGATCATGATAGCATCATGCAGGGATCTTTCCGTTTCTTCGATGAACTGTTCGGCTCCACCTCGCAGAATGACAGTGCATGTCTTGGCCTCGGGACACCCAGTAAAGATGTTATACCTGAAGCAGGAGCAGAAATTGATACCATCAACCTCTGACAAGTGAGAACCCTCCAGAAATAACTAGATAACCACTTCATAAAGGCTGACTACCTGATTTTGAAACAAAATGACACATTATTGCTTACCTCTCTCCACCAATCTGTTCTTCTTCAAACAATTCGCACACGCCTAAAACGTCATCCGTCATGTTATTAACTGTTGTTTGGATTGCACCGCCACAAGCCTTCATGGTTCTCCTCAAGTCTTCTTCCACAACGCGACCAGCACAAAACATGTCCCTAAAAACAAACCAATCCACATTGCCTTCATGCTAGACCCTCTCCCAATTTGATTATACCTCTAAACGGCAACTTTAATCATAATTAATGCAAGGTTAAAAAAAAGAGGGGAAATATCAGCACATATTTCCCACTTTCCTTTTGACAGTGAAACCTTTGCAAATAGTATTTTTAAGAGAAAAATGGTTCAAGTTCCAATGAGACACTCAGGGTTCGTACACTTTTTCAGGCCAAAGATTCAAGGACTTTTCAAGGACTTTCCAGGACCCTACTTAGAAATTTCAAGGACTTTTTGTAATGACAATTTTACCTCAAAACCAAGAAAAATGTTTCTGTTAACATCTATGTTTTGGGCTTACCGAAGGTGCAAAGCAAAAGCAGATATTTTTCGATGTTGTTCAATAAAAAATCAAGAACTTTCAAGGACCCAAAACGAAATTCAAGTACTTTCAAGACCTTAAAATCGGCCTCCTGAAATTCAAGGGATTTTAAGACGCGTACGAACCCTGGACACTTTTCTGGCGAGACAGCATCACAATTGTCTGGTAAATGTGATATATTTAAGACAAGAAGGAAGGATAATAACAGACTTGTACCATACTTTACTTCCAAAAACTCCTTAAAATAAATGCCCCCTTCTGGGTGAAGCTTTTGTTAAGGGGCAGGATGCAATGGTCTTTGTGCCTCTACTGACTGAAATGAAACCTTTGAGTCCTAAGAGTGTGATCAATACTAATTTCTCCTTACAATATCACCCCTGAATCAAACAGTAAGGTCACGAGAATAAAGGAAATGATCACCAACTAAATAAGTTCTTGATTGTTGAACAATGTCTCCCTGACAACACCTTAGGAAACATATAGGGAATCGTATGGAGAATATGCATATTAACATTAAAATGGGTTAATTGAGTGCGGTATATATTTGAGGGCTGCATTTCAGAGAGGAATTATGATAAAAGAAAGTCTAACCTATCAGCAAAATATTGTGTAGCAACATCTCCGATGGGAAGCTTTGAGAGAACAACCTTGGCACCACTCTTAACTATCTTGTCCAGTTTGTCATATAGGATCTCCCACTCTGCATCGACAATCTGCTGATACTCCTGTGGAAGAGAGAAAACCATTGAAACCATAGTAAGCCTCTTGTAATTATTCTAATTGTGTACAGTTATTAGAAGGGGAGCACACTTTAATATACAGAGGTGTGCATTAAGTAAGTGCTTTCTAATACCATCATAATGATAAAAAAGAAAATAGGTTAATCTTCATTTGAGTACTGATAATTAATTAATAAGGACTATACAAGGTGTTGGTGCTCCTCAACATAATGCCCGCATCACACCTTATGTTCTGTCTGTTTACCTTCACGTTGTCAAGTCTAATCTCTGCATTTTCCTTCTCTGCCTTTAGTTCAAGCTCTATGTTTAGCATTGCGATCTTGGGATTCTTGTACTTTTTGGGTTGCATTTCAAATCCAGCATAGGAAAATGTCTTCTTGAAGGCCACCCCTGCAATGAGCCGTGAATCCTCTAGGGCTCCACCTTTAACCTTCTTTATGCCAATCATGTTCAGTGGAAGCAGATCGTCTAGAAGCATTACAGCATCCACAACCATCTTGGAGAAGAAGTCTTTATGGGCAGCTACGAGTTTGGAATTTAGTGAAGTAGCAGCACATCTTTCCAACAATACTCGCATTTCTCTACAAGATCACAAAGTTCACCATGACTTTAATAAAATCTGCACTAGTGATGACAATTAGGAAAATCGTTGACTAGGGAATTGGGATACAACATGTTATCTTTCAGATCTAGGTTGTCTATTACACTATAAAACAGTTAAAATATAAAAAAGTATAAGTTAAAGATTGTGTAAAAGGAATTATTTAAATGATAAAATAATTAACTTTTTAAGAAGGTGAAACTGTCAATGACTTATTTTACTTACTTGGGGTCATCTTTTTTTATTTTAACTGCAATCTCTTTAATTTTACTAATGGCCTGAAAACCAATATAAAGAGAAAAATCAAAACTTTTACATTTACAAAAAATTCAACCATGCAGAGGTTTAAACTGCAAAAGGGTAAAAAAAATCCTTCATTTAGATACATAGGGTGGCGCTTCATTTCAAAAATATCAGTTTTACACACCAAATTTGCAGCCTTCCTAAAACTCTTCACAGCAACCTGTGCATGGACTCCTTCTTCTATAAACGGTTTGACTTGCTTTAGAAATTCACTGGCAAGAAGAGTGACAGTTGTCGTTCCATCACCAACCTACACATTGATTGCACAGATCAACTTTACAGCTTTTCAGTTAACAAGTGAATTTTCCAAGTTATTTGAGGAAATTATTTTTTCGAGATGGACACATTATCCACTCCTTATCCTTACATCTCTTGTTTCTCCCATTATAAACCCTAAATGTTCTCAAGGTTTTATTTCTGCATTGGCTGTATTACTGTACTTAATATTTTAGTTAAGATTTGCCCCCATAGGAGGTAGTAGCCATAAAATCAACCAATTTTAGGCATTTCAAATATGTAAGTACACTGAAAATTTATTAGCCGTGAGAATATCTCTAGAGTTGATAAGTCTGCAGTGTGATGACACCTCATGAAATAATGATAGAAATGGCAACATTGGTAGTACAGAGAAAGATTTTTGAAATATCGCCAGACACAAAAAAATGGGTAAAAGCCAATCAGAGAAAGACCTTGAGTTCCTTTAGCAGGGAAAATTGAAGCCCAATATACAAATGATCCAGAAGACAAATAAGTGCAAATAACAGGATTTTTCAACAAGGGAGGGGTGGGTCAGAGCATACGGTGTGTAACAATTTGTGTAACATGAACGGATGCCCCCTCTTTGTAAACGCAAGTGTGCAACGTTAATAATTGTCTGTCTAACTCAACTTACAAATGCACTTAAAGAAGTACACTACAGAAATCTAAAATTCAATAAATTTTACACACCTCAGCGTCTTGCGACTTTGAAATATCCACAAGAGTTTTTGCTGCAGGATGAACAACGTCTAAAAGGCTTATAATTGTTGCACCATCGTTGGATATCGTGGCTTTCCCTACACCGAGATCAATAATAAAAGAGAGGTAAAATGAAGTACTGTAATTTCTTCATAAATGTACATGTGTTCTCAAAAGGACGAGAGTGTGGTGTACTGCACACAGGCCTACGTACCTTGACCATTTACGATCAGTTTGTCCATTCCTCTTGGACCCAAAGTAGTCCTAACTGCATCAGCGATAAACTGACAAGCGTTAATGTTGCTGATGAGTTGAGGAACACCTTGCGAGGCGTCTGTCCCCTCCTTGAGCAAAATTATACCCGGTTGCTGTCAAAATAATACATGTCAAACATGTGAGCGAAATAATTTTGGTTTAGTGCGTCACATCCAAGTAAAATGTTCATGAAGTGAGAGAGGCATCTTTTTGCTTCTCGTATCAAAAGTGTAATCCTCCTATTTAGCTTAACTGTTCTAGATGAAGAAAGATTTTAATGGGTATCTCACCATCATGATTTCTTGTCAGGCGATGGCTCCCAAACAGCTGCGCAGATATATTAATTTTGTTTGAAATTTAGCGCATAAGGAGTCAACAAACCCGCTGATCGCACGGCTCATTTGCTAAAAATCCCTTCCTCTTATATACACAATGTCCTGTTCATTTGATCAACCGCAGGTAATTTTGCGTGAGTGAAGACAGACGTGGCGCTTCCTCAGTTAGCCGGTGTTTTGGTTATTGATGAACATTTTATTTTTTAAGCAAATCATGGTCTCGATCAATTTTTGTTGGGAGTCATGAAGGAGGCCTGGTGTGATTATTCACCTAGACTCGTATATAACTGTTGTTATTGCGGCAATCCTTCTGTAATATCCCCGATTAAGACAGAAAATACAGAATGGTCGGTCGGTAAGTTAATTTCTTGTACCTCTTGCTTTAATATATTATTACAGAATCTTATCGATAACAATATCCATGTAAGGGAAGTTCGGTGATGTGATTCAGCCATGTATGAGGTTAGAGGGTTAGAGAGGATGTGGTTTCCACAATGGATAATTTCATATCCTGTCTGGCGCGAAGTCCGATCCGCTTATATATATATATATATAGATATATATATATATATATATATATATATATTTGATTGATAAAAAAATTTTAGACAAACATTTGAGTGTAGCGTGCATTCGGTATTGAGCTAGCGTTTATTTAACCACACACGATCACTCGGACTTTTTTGATTAAAAATAGTACACGAAATTTCAATTCGTAATATATCGTGCTTTTATTGAAGACCTCCATTCTTGTGTAAAAAATAATACAAAACAGAAAGCAAGGTAACTACTTAAATTACTTGAAGAAATCCCATGTTGGGTTATTGTTTGAATTAAATTTCGATGTGGATGAGATCATTGTAATGATGAATTGACAAATTTTAAAACTTAAGAGAAAATCAATCAAGTAGATTTTTCCTTTCTTTGGGCATTTTAGAAACACATTAGAAAAATCAATGCGGTCCTCTCTCAGGTGCTCAATATTCTAGAAATTTGTTGAAGCTTCAAATTGATTGGCCCATAATGTTTGTGATGGTGCTGCATCATCGGGAAGGGGTTTAACAAGATGTTTTGGTATTATTAACATAATCTAAATTGGCCGCTGTCAAGAGTTTGTAAAAGCTTATGTTTTAAACTTAGCTTTTCGTCAGAGCTAATGACAAAGGGTTAGAGCTGGAAACCATAGTTTTAGAGACTGTTTGCATTGGCCAATTTACAATATCAACTCCTTTGATAAAACTAAATTAATTTGTAATTACAGAAACAGTTCTCTTGTCAAGATAACTTTCTTTATAACATAACCAAAGTAAAGCTCGCGCTCTGATTGGTCAATTTAGCGTCCCCCATTTGCCCATGGGTGTACACTGCTGATGTGAGCAAATGCAAAGACTATTTTTACGCGCGCGCGCTTGTTTTTTCTGCTCATGTAAGATTTGTTAAATAAAAGGGAACTCTTTAGCTACAATGTATCAATGTTATGTTATAAAACAAATGGTAAACACCACAGCGTACACTATTGAGTTATGGATGCACTTGGGAGGTTTGCTAAGCACTCAAGAAGCTAGAGTCGCTCTCGGCTATCGCCTCGAGCGACTCTTGCGCTTCTTTTGTGCTTAGCAACCTCCCGTGTGCATCCATAACTCAATAGTGTACACTGTGGTGTTTACCATTTGTTAAATATCAACTCATTTGATAAAACTAAATTAACTTGTAATTACAGAAACAGTTCTCTTGTCAAGATAACTTTCTATTCAGCTGATAAGGTATGAGTAATTTGGTTTTTTTTTTAAATTTTTTAGGATCTCAATACGATGGACGAGTCTTCCTTCTTTTCTTAGACCAGGAATAATTTCTTCCTCCACAGACAGCACATGTTCTTCAACAAGAAGACTATTTTCACATATGAAAGACTCTCTACGAAATTATATTTTTTTAGTATTTATTTTTATCACAATAATTTTACTTGCAGCTCTGTTTCTTGTGGGTAACGTGAACTGGTATGGTAACAGAACTAGACGCTTTGCATCAACAGATTTTTATAAACATGGAGCTGATTCTCATTATCATTATGGTATTGTTATTGACTGTGGAAGTAGTGGATCTCGTGTGTTTATTTATTACTGGCCACCGCATAATGGCAATCCAGAGGAGTTGTTACAAATTAAACAAATGAAAGATAACAGAGGAAATCCTGTCAGGATGAAAATCAAACCAGGTATAATCTTCGCAGCTGATTCTACAAATACCATTTGAATTATTACTCCTCCCCTCTCAGGTGTACAGAAAGAGTGGCGAAGGCTTTTCAGTTTTCATGAGGTGTGATTAAGCCTAAAATGAACTCTTTACACCCTAACGTCAGTATGCATATTCTCCATACTGTTCTCTTAACATTTCCTTAAGTGCTGACAAGGAGAATTTGTTAAATAATCAAAAGCTTCCTTAATTGGTGATCATTTTCTTTATTTTTGTGATCTTAATGTGTGATTCAGGGATGATACTGTAAAGAGGAATGTGTTAAGTACTCCTTATAAATCCACTTGCCAGAAAACAAAAATGTGCTCAAATACAGTTTTTCAGGCAATGTTCCAAGTGTTTAATATGTTATTTCAGGGCTGTGGTCTAGC